TTAGCAAAGATATACATTAATCCTGGACATAACACTTAAGTAAAATATATAATACAAAATAATAACACAAAACTGTTTAAAAGTTGAAATCACTTATCATACTCTCTGTTATAATATTGACCATCAAGGGATTAAGAGATCTAAACTATAATAATATATAAAACGAACAAAATTTTTAAAAGCTTATCTCCGCTTGTCCTAGCTTTTAGCATGGTAGATTAAACCTTTTAATGACCCCACTGAAGACATGGCTTAACTCTTTGCAATGACCTGATTTACGTAAAATTTACGTATCGATAGCATTCTGGAGTTAAAAAAATTTTAGTAATTTTACTAATAGAAAACTCAAGATTAAAAAAAATATTAATAAAATAAATATTCTCTCTCAACGAAAATAGATACTAGTAAATTGCAACGTAAAATTAAACTGTTCTTTCGAATTTTAATAAAGAGAAACTATAAAATGACATCCGAAACTGTCGATACATAACGAAGGGAAAATCCGTGTTCACGTAGCTTCCGGAACAAAATTAATTTCTAGCACAACAGAACAGCTCTCGGTCGATCCGATAATCAGGGGTGAACTTGTTTCAACTCCCTTCCGGCTAAAAGGACCATAAAACTCGATCTACCGACGGTCGTTCGAATCAATAGCAAGCCCATTGCGTCAACAACGTAGCGCCTCACTAAGGAGATTTTAATCCGATCGTTTTTCACGCGTCATCGAGAAGTGCACTTAAATCATCTACATACCTATTCGCTTGCATTAACAATCATTGTCGACAAAAGATGCAAAAACATGGATGTTTTGTCATACGAAAAATTATTGCATTGAGACTGTTCGAAATACAGAACGTGAAATGTCGTGACTACTTATTATCAGCTGTTTCCACATCCGTATAATTTAATTTGCATATGGAACGAGATGATTAATAACTTAATATTTCCCTTTCGTGTCCAGCTAATATACGCATATATGCGTATACATATTTAAATATCCTATTTTGAACATACTAAAGCGTAATAGCAATCACATAAGATTAATTCATACTAGCAGTTATTTGTGATAATATTGTGTAAAGTTTTCTGTGACAGCATTGTACAAAGGTAATTTATTTTTAGCAAATATGCAATCACATTGTTGTTAGGAACAAACTAAATATAAATTATAATGAAATAATTTCAAAAAAAGAAAGATTTGATTATAGATAGATATGCATTTCATATAATCACTACAATAAATATTTCGATACAGCTACAGATATTCAAAAACATAGCCGAGCGTAAAAAGAAGAATATTTATGGTTAAGTAGTTTATGTCTCAATTGACTCAATTCTAATTGAATACGTCGACACGGAAATAAATATCGTCGTTCTAATTGGCGCGCATTCCTCGCTCGGAAATTTCGATGAAAGGCGGATGAACTGAACTTTTCTCGCATGGAACGTGGCAAAGTTTCTGCAAAAGAATCCCGGTAGGAGAATTAATTTCGCGAGCAGAAAACGAATGACGTGAGGCTTGCGCGGGCATATCTGCATCGAACAGAGAGTCCTGTTTGCCTCGAACAGCAAGAGAGGCCTCACGGCAAACGGACTCAATGAGTGGCGGCCTCGCGAACCTGTGGGCAGAATTCTGTTCTGCCGTGCACGGAAGTGCTTTTACTAGCAAAAAGTTTTGAAAGGCAATTACGAGGGTTATTTTATGACAATAAGCGAGCACGCGGCCCTCGTGCGCGACGTTACGCTACGGAAAATCCATTCGCTTCGAAGTTTCGTATTATCCGCAATGGCACGTCGCGACACGTCGCGTCGGCCAGTATTTCAAAAAGTTCGACAAAATTCGAGGTACGAAGAGAAATAAAGTGCGCCGGCGGCGATTATGCTTATAATCCCGTCATCGATGAAGTTTGATATTACGCGCACGTCTACGTCGCCTTTAACTTCATAGCGCTTACAAGCCCAGAAGCTATTCTCCCGTTAAAGTCCGAAGATTAATCGTTGTCTTGCGGCGATGTTAAGAACGCAAAGGATGCGTCGGTTTCATTGCACAAATGCAATTTTTCGGAAGAGGACTGGGTAAAAAGATTAATTGTAAAGATAAAAAAATGATATACAATTGTGAATTCTATCCTACCTTTTTAATGTATTTATCCATTCTTTGCGTAAATATCATAGTTCTAATGTAAACTTGAGCGCCCTTTGAATATTTCTTAATTTCTACAAATAGGAGCTTAAGATTAATCTCAATATGTATAAAATTTAATGTTGGTATTTTTTGCTGTTAACGAACAATATGACTTTCTGCAACTTGAATCGCGTCTGAGACCGACCTCATTAAATTACTATAATTCAAGGATCTTTGGTGGTTAAATATTGTCGCTAACAACGCGTACAGTGAGGAAGTGGAGCAAGTATCTTCATCCCGGTTGAAATCAACTCCGGCAACGAGCGAGCGAGTGAACGAGAGAGAGAGGGAGAGAGAGAGAGAGAGAGAGTGTGTGTGTGTTCATGCAATTCCGTTCTAATCGCGAACTCGCCCTAAACATGATGCAGTCGGAAATTCGCGGCGTACGGCTGTCTGGCTTTGTGAAGCACTTGACGAAATATAATTCGCAACTGAGAAAGTGCTTGCCCGCACACAGCTGATCCGGAAGTACAATTCCGGAGTTGGCGATAGTTCGTGCGTGCGCCTCAGGTATTTGCGCCGCTGCAGTTGCCCGTGTGTATTTCCTCGTCTTAATCAAGAATTGCGAATTCGAGTGTAAGAATGCGGATTATACGTGAATTGTTGTCAACGCCGGAGAGAATATTTGCATTAGTTATCTCAAAATAGCACGCGACAACACCAGTACTTGCATTTTAAGTTACGTCAAAGATTTATGTCCAATTTTTTTCATATTTTTCTAGAGAAAAATATACCCTTCATATAATGTAACGCATAAATATGCAAATGCTTGTTTATTCAAAAAGTAGCGGCATGAGTATTTCACCGTAGCGCATTTGAGATGCATTTATCAAAGAGGTAGAAAGATACGTAATTAAATTGTATTTAATCTCAATTGCATGTCTCATGCAAAAGCATAACACAGTATTGTTTTAAAATTACAGAATGAGGTAAAGCTAATAAAAACTTAATAAGAGAAATTACATGGATATTCTCGAAATATGGATAATTTGACTATAATATGCAATATAAAGAGTGCTGTCCAAATATTTACATTGCACTGGCAGAATTATCTACGTTACATATACTAATGATGATTTTTGTCTGCAACAAAAAATGTGAAAATGAAATAATCCCCAAATGTGTGTTATTTTTGCTTTATTATTTTGCAAATAATATTTGTGTCAATTTTTATGTCATAGCAAAATGGCTTTATGTTAAAAAAAGAATTTAATTAAAGACTATTATTTAACGTTAAGCTAACAAAATCCAGTTTTAAAAGAAATAGTATGTATTATTAAAAAACAAAGAGTCTTGGACATAGGGGACTACTTTAAAGGCATACTACAAGTTCTTTATTTTTCTAACAAAAATTCGTATTTCGTGATTGAAGATTTATTTTTCCTAACGAAAGCTTTTATTAAAAATAAAGCCTATTCTATAAAAAAGATACGCTGGGAATTAATATCGGGGAAAAACATGTCGCGCGTTTCAAAAGAAACTGTGTCGCGCTTCAGAAATATTTTTTTTTTCCGAATGAAATATTTTTTCGAAATATCGACAATTTTTTTTTAATACATTTACAATGGTGGATTTAAAATGTTTCGTTACGCACAGAGTGTATTGATATTTCACTTTATATCTTAATCTGATGTTTAAAGCGCGTGCTTCGCGTACGACTGTTAATAAATCCGTGGTGTTTTCTACCGAGTAGTCTCCTCCGCAGAATTAATTTATTTCAATAGAATAATCTTTCCGCGCGCGCGCGCGCGCGATTGCACTTGTACGTTCTGTGCACGTTCACAAGATATGCGGGAAAAAATATCTCTCGAATAGCACGCGTGATAAGCTTATAGTAGCTAGTAAATGCACGGTATGCGTGTACACGGTAACGCGCAGATTTCAGGGGAAATCCGGCCGTAACGTCGCGCTGCCGTCACGAAAAGGAACGTTACCGTCACGTCAAGATATAATGTGATATATTTAAATAGGTCCGTTCGCGTACTGCCACAGCGAACTTTCACGTGCGCGACTGATGTGACGCGACAATCCGTGACGCTGATGCTACGTACGATCTCCGATGTGACGCAAACGTTAACGGGCTGATGCGGAGTTTCCGCCTAACACGTTTTGAGATTCAAGTAGCCTTGCAAAATGTAATACATCGTAAATGCGCCGAGAGATTTCCTGAATTTTCAGAATATTCCATGGATATATCGAACGTATACTAAAAGAACTGCTTTGTTGAAATATCTAAAAATTTAACTGTAGCTACAAGTCTGAAAATAATTTTGTTTGATTGTCAAAATAAATTATATAGGATGCTCAAAAACCGGTCGCTTCGTACAATGTCAAAACTTTATGCAGCACTGCTCATTACGCATGAATTTTTTAACATAATTATTTTTTTTCTTTTTTTTTTGATAGTTCAACGAAATTCTTTTTAAATAAATTTATATCTACCTAAATTTTTAGTACTTTAGTAAAATAATTTTTTCCATGTACGGAACATTCAGCGACGACATTACAAACGTACTAGTTACATATGCTAAAAGATTGTTACTGGATATATTATACAATTATTCCATTGCCAACTTTGACAGCTTTGGTATGATCGTATTAAAAATAAGATGGAAAAATTGAGCCAATCTTATTTTTACCATTCCTTATAAACGAGAAGTAACGCTATACAAAATCGATCTGATAATCTCGTCAGAAATCTATTATTGATTGCAATTCGAGATATATCTGTTTTTAGCGCGATCTTAAATTTTTTATTAATAATGGCATCTTTCTGAGGAATTATCATTAATCGTAAGCTTACTTTTATTTTCAGGTGGTATAGCGTCGTGCTTACGAAACTTTCGGACCGACTTCCTGGAGGAATGGCCGACGCCGGGCACCGGTCCTCACTTCGACATTTCAATGCAGTCGAATTTCACCGGGCTAGTGGGGAAGACGGTGCATCTCGTGTGCAAGGTGAAGAACTTGGGGAATCGAACGGTGAGCCATCGGAAAATCCATCGTCTGGTTCGTGACTAGAGGCGCTATATCTTAGCTCGAAGCGGACAGCGCGCTGGCCAGCTACCCCACGCCGCTGTTGAATAATTTAAGGGTAGGGCCGCACGAACGACCTTGCGACCCTTCCTCGCGATCGTAGCGGATACTTTAGCGGCGCGTCACGTCGTCAGATTTACCCGCTCGCTCGCTCGCTCGCCGTCAAGAGACTCGTTAAACGACTAATAGATCGATGGTCCACGAATAGAAAGTTAAAGTATCATCCAAATCATGTCAGAGGAAAAAAGTAACAAGTGCGAATTACTAAGATACGCGTAAAATACTAAGATAAGTAAAATATACAAAAAAATAATCTGGTAAGATTCTTTAATGAAAATCGTAATAAATGCAATTCCGTTTTATGAAGATTTTGGAGCATTTAACTAGTTGTTGAAATCGACTCTTAATATTTTAACCCGTATAAATTTATGTTATTGAGTACCTGAATGAAAAAGCTTCGAATGCTTCTAATTTATAATTTCGTGTGAATTTAGGTATATACTAAATACGTATGTAGATTCTTAAATGCGCGGCAAAATTTTTTCAGACTCCCGACGAAGGTAATATTTTTCGCAATATAAATTAATTATTTACAGATTTTTAATATGTCATTCATAGATTTTAATGTCATTCAACATTATTAAGATCCAAGATGCCGTGAGCTTCAAAATTGTTAGATTGTTAGTCAATTTAACTCGTGATAGTACTGCGATAGTTTATTAGAGTTTGCGTTGTAAGTCTGAAAAAATTTCAGCGCGCATTTAAGAATCTACATACGTATAGTGTATAAATTCATACAAAATTATAAATTAAAAACATTCAAGATTCAACTTGACCGGACGGCATGTTTTCATCGGTATTTAATTTAAACTTTCACAGTCCAATAAGATTTGATATTGTTATGTTATTGAGTTTTTCTTCTCACGAATTTTTATTTCTTACTGTTGTAATTGCAACTTGATATAATTACGACATTAATAACGAATAACATTGGCGCGCAATGCGAACAAATGCACGTTTATAAGGACACGATTCGCTTATAAAATATAAAATTGGTGTTCTTACACAGTGGAGTCCGTGGTGCAGTTCGTCCAACGTAAATGGGGCTATTAAATAAACATTACTGTTCCTTCATCGTGCACAGTGCCGGCGTCTCATGAAAAAGGCAGGCGATGTTAGCGTTTATGTTCCTGCATTATTAACCGCTCTTCTTATACAGTGAACAGAAGCGTTCTTTTTGTGCAACACGCGCGTCGACGAATTATATCGCTTTAAAAATTCCCCTCGTATAATTATTCTGATTGTGCCAGATGGTTTTGATATTTGAGCGTGTCATCACGTCACCGGCACTTCGTTCTTCGACATTACTTCTTGGTCGTTGTTCAAAAGGGATCATTGATGCCTTCTTGTTTTTACTGATGTATGCGATATAAGATCTGTTCGCGTTGTTTGAAATCCCCACAAATTTTTTAACTTAAAATAAAATAGATATATATATTGTATATAAAAGAAAAACGAAGAGATGCTAAGTGCAAAATATGTAAGCAACGCGATATAACAGACATATACACATGTGTTACATACATATGTATGTAAAACAAATTTTAAATAGGAAACCATCAATGGCGCCTTTGTACTTGTGATGAAATATCGCAATTCATTCGATCATCGAATGGCATTGCTGAATAAACGTATTGAGAACGTTAAGAATAAAGAATTGATCGCATAAGTACGAGATAGCATGACCACATACGATCAACCGATCGTAACTTCCTTAAGAACGCCGCTATACCACGAAACTAGTTTCGATAATCTTTGCGCTTCTGTAATCGCATATTTATTACATCTAAATTTCAGGTTTGCGTGTGCTCGTAACAAAGTTCTTGTAATTTTCAAATAATTACCCCATTATACTTTCTTCCTTCTAGAAATCAAACTGATAGTTTCTGTTTAAAGGTTGATCGTTTGCGATCAACTTTTATTGCGATTTCAGCAGATATGATTAATTTTATTGTTCAAATCACAGTACATTTTTATTTTCGTCGAAGTCGAAGTGTTTAACCTCTATTAAAAAAAAAAAATACAAATAGCTTGTGTGTGTGTGGAACATTCGTCATTCGAGTTTACAAAAGCCCTGTTACACGTCCATTCTTTCGAGCTTACTTTGTTGACGTGATCGGATCTTTTATGATATATGACGTTGCTATCATAAGCCCCCTCTGGAAGATCAATCACCACCGCTTGTGAACGCGAGAGTGCATCATTACTAGGTGTTTGCTCGGACCAAGAAGCTACTGCAAATACGTCTTACAATTAGATGATAATGATCACCTTCATTAGAAGACATCGTAATCTGTTTAGAGTGGCTTGAGAACGGCTTTTTTTCACAAGAGGTGGATCAACGTCATTATGCGGTCGATTTTGGCAATCTCCATTGTTCCGATAAAATATAATGAATTTAATGAATTTAATGAATAATAAGTTTTAATCGTTAATAATAAGAACTTAATAATTTTAAAATTAAATATATAAATAATGATGGAGAGTATAATATGAAGTTCTATAGCAGTCAATGCTGGTTATAAATGTGCGTATACAATTCATTGATAAAACAATTGCTTCATTATTACTTTTTTTTTACTTAATAGTTTAATATAAAATATTAAAATTGGGATTAAAATGATAAATTGTAAGTGAAAATTTTATATCGATAAAAATATATCGAATATGAGAAAGATTTTTATTTCTGATCAAAACGGATCTTGATGCTTGATAATATTCATTTACGTAATGCAAATTTATAAATATATTAGATTAATTTAAAAAGACTTAACGATTTTATTGGCTCATTGCCCTGTTTCTCTATATTAGTTGTTTATAAATATATTCTTTTTAGTTTTATAAATTGCATGCCGCGCGATTCAATTTATTGGGAGGGGGGACTTGAAACATAATCATAAATTGAAGAAATATACATTAAACGTAAATTTAATAACAATGTTAATAAGCGAAAGACTTTCATATAGAATTGTTTAAACATGTCTTCTTGAAAAACGATGTTCTCTTACTAATTATCGGTTATTGCGACAAATATGTAATATCTTCATATCTTGGTAATCGAATTAATAAGACTGTCGCACGGCATGAGATAAATCCAGGTTCAAATTTATAGTGATATTTTTTGCAATAAGTTCTTTGTGGTGTTTTAAATTGGTGTTTGATGTAATTTGTGATGTTATTATTAGCTTCAGTTTATATAATTGCGTTTCAATTTCGATAAATCAAATTGGCACGCAGTTTATGAAATTATAAAAACAGCGCTTACTATCTAGAAAATTTAGAATTTTTGGAGGATTCCTTTTCTATTCTTCAAAATTAGAAACTTTCATGTAATTTTATTGGAATTTTTAAAGAATTTTTTAGAATTTTACTTTTAAATTTAAATTCTGTCTTTTTCTGAAAACATTGTTTCTTTAATAACTTCTTATTGATATTGCAAAATGTTGACAATCAGCAGTAAGTGCATTCACATATTCGTGTATAATCACACATTCTTGTATCACACGCGAGTTTTTATTAAAAAATTCAGGTTGATAATACTGAGCAATACCCATTGTCAATAGAATGGAGTAGCTTACCGATATTACAATTATATAGCAATAAACTTTCTTTATAAACTTTTTTTATTATCCTATGGCTTTTGAATTTAGACTTTAAGTTAGATAAAATGATAGATATAGTCTCACAAAATTCCTGGTTTAATTTTCAGTATATAATTTATTTACGTTGTTTAATTCCAATTTATGTCAAAGCTACACTTAAAAAAATTCTCTAATTTTTTAGAATTTTGAACAAAAATATCTGAAAAATCCAGGAATTTTTAGGAAATTTTTTTACAAGATTTTAGTAAACACCCTGAAAAATATATAATATTTACAAATTTACATATCAACATTATTTAAGCATCATGATCCGCTTTGACTAAAAACTAGAAACCTTTTTTTTATTAAAGATTCATTTTTTTATATTAATCAGAAATATCATTGCATTCTCCTTTTTGTTTATTTTAACATTCAAATTAAATTTTTTATTAATATTTCAGCAGCAAATATATAAATGTATTTATTTAATACTTTTCAATATTTTTACATTATTTGATATTTTATTTTATATATTAATAAAAATGGAATATTAAATATTCTGACGCGATTTCTCGTTCAATTATTGCTGCATATCATTTCCTGCAGTTTATGCTACGTATACTTGTAGATAAATCCGTCGCTTTGAATCGATATATTCAGCAACGTCATAACAACGTAGCGAATCATTAACCGCGTGATTATCTTTTGCATTTCCAGATATCCATTTTGCGGCCTTCCGATAATAATTGGCGATCGTGCAGTTTATTCATTGCATAAATATGAGAACGGTTCGTAATCGCGCTCACACATCGAATACGCACGGTTTAAATGTCCACAATGGATTGTTGATTAACGACAGATTTGTCGAATGATACAAAAACTTGATAAACGAAGCGTAATCGTAAATACGGATTATGGCTCTCACGTTTGTGCCGTTCGATGATTACTCAATATTCCTATAATGATTGATGAATATTAATCCAAGTTTTCTCCGCTTTCTCCCAAATTTTTGAATCGTATATACAATTACGTGTTATCAACATGTAGCTCTGAATTACGGAATTAAACTGAATGGACAAATGTTCATTCCGTATAATTTCATAATTCAAGTAAACTGCAACATACGATACGTAGCGATAATTGAACGAGAGAACTTGTCAGAATATATAATGTTCCAAATTTATTAATTTTAAATAAAACATCAAATGTTTTGGTATTTTGGATGCCCAATTTATTCACCCAACAGCGACAAATATCATCGACATCAATATGCTGTGTGCATTATGCACTCTTGAAATATAAATG